CCTACTCACAAAAAGGTAGCTCTCCAGGACAGGTTCAGACAGAGCGTGGCCATATACAACAGGACAAGTAAAATACCCAGGAAGCAAAGCAGCTACCCCATATAAATTGTTCTGAAGTCTGTGGATACCTATCTGGTCACCCATAAACTGATTGGTTTGCCTTTTTTTTTTTTCATATTTCCTCATGATCTCTTTCTGATACTTTTGTTAGGATGTTGTTATTGAATAGTGAATAAAAGTTCACATTATATTCATGCATGAATTGCAATTAATTTTAAAATTTGGCTGGCCTGAGATGTTAAATCATTTTCTTGCTTGCTTTGTGAGGGATGTGTAATGAAGAAAGCCACTTCATTTATAAATGTAATTTTCATAGAATTGAGACTTTAGAAACCATTCTTTTGCAATCCTTTCATTTAAAGACAAGCACAGTTGCAGTAAGGTCAAGTGATTGTCCCAAATTCACCAGTTTGCTAATGACAAAGYCAGGATTTAATCCCCAAAACCTCATCTCATAAAGCCCAAATTTTCCTCCATTCTACTGCTACTTCTTCATAAGGCAACTGRTTTATTCATTTGTTTATTTCAAGTGAAGGAGAGGGTGAAACATATAGAGCAAGAACATATAAAGGGAAGGAAATAATGTAAAAGAAGTCTGGAGGAAAAAATAGGAAATTAAATAAGCATTCAATATCAGGAAGGGAAAGTACAACTAATAATTGCCCCAGTGCTACAGAGAAGACCAAGTTCAGGCCCTCCAACATTGAGCTGCGTATTCCTGTGTGAGTGACTAGAAACCAAATGAGATTCAGGAGATAACCAGCTTGCAGTGTATGCTGAGAAGCTTATCTCAGGTCCCTGCTCAGGGCTGCCCCAGCTATTCCCCAGCTGTTGGGAATACTGGCCTCTGAGCACTCCCAGGGGTCCATCACTGAGTACTGCCCTGGGGAACTGCTTTGCCAAAGGTTTACCTTTTCCGGGCAAAGGTAGGATATGGAAATATAAAGGTCCAAGTCTCTGGACTCAATTTGAACCAACTCTGAAGAGTGACTGTACGTTAGTCCCCCACTGGGCTGTAGGCCCAACTGAGGCCTCAGCTGTCCCCACATTTAGAGGTAGTTTATCGTTCCACACAGTTTGTCACCTTCACTTTCTTACCTGTGTGTCTTTTAATCATGTACCAGTAAACCTTCCCACAAAATGCATGATTCCAGGAAACTCAGTTGTAAGATACCACCCAGATTCACATTTCTATCCCTGTCAGAATTGGGACTGAAACTCAGATTTTTTTCTAACGCCTCATCTCATTAACTTAGACCATTSTCAATTACTATACATCTTTCTGTGACCAAGTCTCTCTATGTATGACTTGGCATAACACATCCTCCTATAAGGTGGGCCTCTTACAGTATGAAATGATGGTCGCCAGTATGTTACACAGATGATTTTTGGTAACTGGCGAGGCTTATTTTTACTTCAATAGTGACTATTTTAGCTTGGGATTGCCCAGAAGCAGACCTTGAGATGAGGACACAAGCGAAAATGATTTATTAGAATACAGGTTGGCTTCACTAATGTGTGACTTCCAGAGTTACACACATACCTGTGGAGTCATATAGAGCCCTATGCTTGGTTTAATACATGGTTGCTGCCATTTTGAAATTCTTAATTAATTTGTGAAGAATTTTCATTATGTATTAGCACCCCCCCCCATTCATGTTGCAGTTCCTGATTAGGACATATTACCAGGAAAAATTGGTATGGGAGTAAGAACTGGAACTGGGAGGAGGAAGAAGCTAAGCAAGGATGTGATATGAAAGTCCCATAGAGGAAAGAGGRATTTAGCCCCACCACATAGTGAGGGACTTCTGTTGTCAGTGTTGATTCAACTGAGAATTGTCCAAATTTGTTGCAAAAGAGTTGGAGTATTTTTACCCCCACACTAGTCTGTCACTGGTTAAAGGCCAAGTGTGAGAATAGAGGACATTAATTACCAACCATTTCCAGTTGTTCTGTGTGCGGGCAAAGCAAATCCTGCAGCTGAATGTGGTACTCTGACCACCAGATGCAGATGCTGGTAGGCAGGAAACACATATGGAACCAGTATTATGAAGTTGGAAAAATCACAGGGAATATGACCATCACTGGCAGCTACTGCTGGAGTTAATCATGTACTTTAACATGAACTAGAGTACTTGATTATCAACTCATGATATCATGGGTAGAATTACTAACTGCACAGGTAATAAATGTAAGAAGTAACAAAAGTGATTCAACAAAAAATGCAAATAAAAAGTAAAAGATCCAGTGATATGAAGATGAAATGTGAGTCACTGAAGTTTGGGGARTATCAGCAGAGAAAGGCCATCGGTAAAAGTACAAAATGTAGAGCCAGGTGCCCTGGGTCTAAATCCTAGCTCTGCCACTTTCTGACTGTTTCATTTAACTTTCCCRTGCCTACCTGCCAGGGTTGTTAGGGGGATTAAATAATTTAATACATATAAAGTACTTAAAGCAATATCTGCCATGAAGGAAGTACTGGTTAAACGTTAGCTCTGACTATTCTTGCCTTTCAACTAATTCGATCAGGGATTTTCCAACTATCTGTAGTGCAATTGTTCCTCAATACCCACTTGGAATGGTTCTAGAACCATCTTCCCACCACTACATCCTATGGATACCAAAATCTGAGGACAACGAAGTCTCAAATAAAATTACTTAGTATTTGCATATACCCTATGCACATCCTTCTGTATACTTTAATCATCTCTAGATTACTCATAATATCTAAAACAATGTAAATGCTACATTAATAGTTGTTATACTGTATTGTAAAGGGAGTAATGACAAGAAAAAAGGCTGTACTTGTTCAGTACTAACTCAGTTTTTTTTTTTTCTCAAATAGTTTTAATCTGCAGTGAGCTGAATCTGAGGATTAGAATCTGCAGATGCAGAACCGATAGGGAGGGTCAAATGCATCTTATTTTCAAGTTTGTTGAAGGATGATACTTATGAAATAAACCAACATACAAAAATAAAAGCCCATGTTTTTTAATGATTAAATGATTCATTAGGCATAACTACTATTGAAGTTTCTACCAGCTCATTTTCAATATCTGTYCCCTTTGCATGACAGTTTACAGACCATTGCTAGTCTGTGACCATACTTTTGAATAGCACTGAACTAGAAAACCTTCAATAAGCCACTTAGCTCTTGCACCTCAGCTTCTGGATTTTTTAAGAGATTAATGAAAGAAGAATAAAATTAAGTACATGAAARCACTTAATAAACTATAGTGTACTAGAAAAGGAAATTTGTGGTAGGGCCATCAGAGTCAATTCTGTTGTCAGGCTATTCTGTTTAGGGTGAATCCTTCAAATTATCAGTATCTGAATCAGTCAAGTGTTTCCTAATGTTGCACAAAGCAGAGAATAAAGGGCTTCTCTGGCAAGCTATGACTCCCACCCTACAACCCAGCTATTCACAGGTTGCTAAGACCATACTCCTGGAAAAAGGCATCAACTAGAGCAGGGAGAGGAAATGTATGGTTTTTCCTTCTGCATCCTATCCAAATGATTTCACAAAAACTGATACTTGAGTAGGGGTCAAAGGGAAAGCAGGAGTGAAGATAATGTCATTAGAGCAGTTCTTGGAGCCCAGCTTCCCTGGGGCCCACTTCTCTTCAGCTGGTGAAACTCAACACTTACAGCCTTCACCAATGCATTTCGACTCTAAGCATGGACTCTGCCCACACTGGTTCTAAGTGACTTACTTAGGCCTCACTTTCTCTTTTATCCACCCCGTCAAACAAGAAGGAAGATACCTAGAGATACTCAAGCAATCTACTGAGTAGTAAAATAGTAAATTTCTGTACATTCACCTTCTTTATTCTGTCCAGATTCACAAGCCTTATTTTATTTGTAAATACTGAGATTTCAACCCAGGAGCACTCTACCACTGAGCTATATCTCCAGTCCTTTTATTTTGAGGCTGAGTCTAAAGTGTGATCCTCCTGCCTCAGCCTCCTGAGCTGCTAGAATTACTTGAGTGCTCCACTTGCTTGGGGGCTTGAAGCTTTTTGAGAGCAAGCCTCCTGTCAGATTGTGAGCTCCCCATCACCTTCAGCACCATACTTGGAATGAAGCAGGTGCTCAATTCTATTTTTGAAAAGGCGGTATGAATGAGTATGAAGTCTCTGGAAGCGAAAGTGGCTCTTCAATCTACCCAACCCCGAATCCATCCAGAAAAGGCCAACCAAATCCAATTAATTCATTACGCAGAACGCTGCCAAGTTCTGGGCATTCGGAAACACAAATTTCATGCGGTTGCGGGGAGGTGGAGGGGGGAAACCTCATGATGGGCGGATGTACTTCAAATTTAACAATCTGGTCATACCTCTGCTTCTGGGAAACAAAATCTCTCCGTGGCCCCAGGGCCCTTTAAATGTTACCGAGGCTCTTTTCCTCAGACATTTTTGGATCAGAGCCTAACTTTTGTGTAGGGGTTTGGCAGCGCTTGTCTTCGCAGCCCAGGGGACCCGCTGCCATAAGGGCTGGCGAGGCGTTCACACGCGGAGGAAACTTGCAAGGAGTCAGAGGCCAGCGTTCGCCGGTGGCGAAGTGGAGGCCCCGGAATCTAAGTCCAGGTCTTCGGGGAAAATTCCGGGGAGTGGGGATGGCCAAGGGCGCCAAGACACTAACGAGCTTCGCCCACTCGCGACGTCTCCCCGCCGCGGGCCGGGACCCGACGCGCGCAGGGCGGCCGAAGCGCGGCACCGCGCGGGCGTCCGGGCGGAGGGAGGGCGTCCGGGCGGAGGGAGGGCGGGGAGCCGGGGAAGGAGTCCGAGCAGCCGCCCCGCCCGTCGGGCCGTCCGCCCCGCCCACCCCGAGCGAGGCGGAGCCGGCGCCCAGAGGAGCGGGAGGAGGAGAGGTCGCTGCCGTCTCCAGGAGCCCTTAGAGACCGAGTCCCCGGCAGCGGCGGCGGTGGTGGTGGCGGCGGGGCCAGCGCTCAGGAAGGCGAGTGAGCGCCCGGCGGCGGGCGCGGGTGCCCAGTCGGTCCCTGTGGGGTCAGGGGCGCAGCTCGGGGCGGCGGCCCGCGAGTTTGGGTGCTGGGAAGCGAAATGGAGGGAGGGAACGGAGGAAGGAAGGAAGGAGGGAAGAGTGTCCCGGAGGGCGGGGACTGGTCGGGGCATTGAGCGCCGGAGAAGGGGGTGGAGGAGGGAGGGCAAGGGACAGTGAGACCCGGAGACCGGCGGCGCGCGCCCTCGACGGGCGGCGGCCGGAGCGCGCGGGTAGCGGGGTCTCAGGGGCTGGAGCCAGGGCCGGCGGGTTGGGGGAGAGGGAAGAACGATCCCCCTTCTCGCTCGCTTTCTTCTGACGCCCGCGGCGCGCCCCGCGCGGGTTGCGGAGGCCCCCACTGTCGCCAGCGGTGCTGGTGGTGGGGCCGGGCTGAGCGAGAGGCTGGGGTCGGGGGGCGACCCGCACGCCACGCCCTCTTCCCTACTTTTCTTCCTCGCTTTCTTGCGACAGGCCGGTAGGAGCGCAGCCTCGGCACCCGCTAAGCGTTTGGGGGTCTAGCGGATAAATAGCGGGTCACCGAGAGGGGAACCCTGATGACACACCCCGCAGGGGACCCGGAGGCTGCCCATTTGCAGACTGTTTTTGTAGGTGGTAAGGAGAAAGGTCAAAGTTCAGACTGGAGTCTAGAATGTTTTTTTGTTGTTTTTTTAAAAGCCTTGCCCGGACACTTCCTTCGTCGATCAGGGTGACTTTTCATTTTAATTAGGCATATCATTAAAACTAATTTTGAAACGCGGTCACTAGCGTCTCCGGACACTCTCTTGTCCTTTGCCTTGTGTATCTCGTAAACTTGACTTAAACCATTCATAACTTCCGAAAAGGGAAGCGTGATTCTCGTTGAACTCACGCGGTTGGAGTGAAACTTTGGACAACTGGAAATCGGAGTGAGGGACCTGAAGAGGCCTGTCATCGTGTGGTCATCCTGTGCGGGCGTGGTTGTATACAAACCAGGGGACCGGGAAGGAATGGCCAAACCCCCGGAGTTAGAAGGCAGGTCCCCTGCGCCCACGTGCCAGCGCACGTTTAATCGCTGCTCCGAGTGGAAACAAATCCGGAATTTATTAGACTTGGTGGAGTTGGACAAACTCCACATGATTAGCTTCCTTTCCATCAGTGATTTCCTCTCCCCACCGCTGTCTCTGCGGACACTGTTTATATTTCCTGGGGCAGTTGAAGCTTCGCCTGAATAGATTGTCTATAATGAATCTTTCGGATGTTGTCAGAGGCAGGGTCTGTGTCTGTGTGTTCTCTATGGCCAAAGCAGAGTTTGGCCTTGTTTTTAAAGTGCTAGTCACCACGTTGCACCATTGCTGCTGCTGCTTCTCGGCTCTCAATGTAAATTACCACCGGATCCCGGCCCTCCCCCCGGCAGAACCAGGAAGGCAGGCAGCGTTAGGATGACGGGATTGAATTTTACTATTGCCAAAACAATCACTTTCAAATAAGGAGCTAGGGTTGGTATGTTTTATTTTAAACCAAACTATGTAGATTAGCAAGGCCCTTTTCCAATAAACAAACTTGCGGTTCACACACACAATTTTTAAAGGTAATCAAACATTGTAAAGACTTAAATGACAAGAGGACTTTTGGATCAAACGTTCTGTCCCTTCACCTTCCTTAACAGTTAACCAGCACCATAAAGCTCTGGTTTAAGTCCAGAAAAAAAAATGCAGAACAGTCTAACTACTGTGTCTTTAGGCCTTATAAACAATGCAGTTGTATGTAGCCCAAGTAATTTATTAGGTAGGGGGCTCTGGGCATGATTTTGTGTAGAAATATATAGAAATGTGAATCTGTTTCACAAGAGACAAAAAAATTCTGTGTAGAAAGCCCCAATCTTATTTGAAAGACTAGCTCTCCAACAATTAGATTTGTGGTCTTGGGTTTGTGTTGTCACTTGTTAGAGAACATGGTTGTTTGTCAAGTTGTGACAGCAAAAGCCTTCGTGGTTAAAAAATTTGAGGAAATGGTTAACTAATACCAATTTAGTTTTTTTTTTTACATTAAATACCTTTTCTGTCTAGCAATAAAAAAAAATCAGATTTATATTATGTCATTTGCTGTGTTAGATTTTCATTAGGTGGATTTGTTTCTTTGTTTTTTTGTCTTATTTCAGATTAAGTTGAACATACAAAGGTAAGTTGTAGAAGCCAAATAAATTTTTCTGAACCTTAATTGAGAAGATAAGCAGTTTAACAGAGGTTTGGGGTATGGGCTTTGGTGTTAGACAGACCTGGATAAGAATATTAGTTATTTAGCAATTTTTGTCTAATTTATAAAACAGGAATAGTAGTGGCCTCTACCTCTAGACTTTTAATAAATGTATGACACTATTTTCAGAAAACACTTTGTACCTAACCTACAATAAATGTTCAAAGTATTAGATGTTTTAGTTAGCTTAATGAGCAAGCTGATGGTTAAATTATAAGATGGCAGCCTGAACCTTCCGGAAATGCTAGATAGAAATTCTAAAGAAGATACCTGTTTTTTATGTGTTCAAGTATGTGTATGTGTTTGTCATGCTTCTACCACAGCAGTATGAATAATTATTATTGAAGGGTTAATAATTTTAATATGTTTTTAGAGCTGAAGTTATAGTTGCATGGTATTTTTAGGGCCAATCAGAAACATTTCATTAATTGTCTTTTAAATTTAAAAAGACTTTTTATTTCAAATAGTTGTGTTTATTAGCCTTTTACAGGAAATTAAACCAGGAACAGAAGAAGTATTTGTCTTTAACCATGTATGATTTTTAATTTAAGTATGAAAAAATGTGACCTAAGGGTATCCGGTTATTTGCTTTTACATGTACTGATATGCAAGGCCAACAGATAAGCCACTAGAAGTGTTAGGATTGTTTGTGAGCATTTGTTTTATTTTAAAATTTTTGTGAGAATGGATGTTCAGTTAATTCAGGGACTCTACTCATTGCATCACTGAATCATTTGCTAAAATTTGCAAAATTTTAAAAATGCTTCCATCTTTAAAACAAACCCTTTCAAGCTTGTGTGTGTGTGTGTGTGTGTGTGTGTGTGTGTGTGTGTGTGTGTTTCCTTAGTGGACATCAGGCACACAGAATTGGTCTGATTGGAATCTTAGCTCATGCCACAGATGACTTCTAATTTTACTAATTGTTCCACAGGGACAGAGAGATGTTGGTTTATAATAATTTCACATAACTATAAAGGGTACAGTGTTAATATGAACTGTTTCTTACTTGTGACACTATGCTCTGAAGCAGTGGATGTCTTGATTGAATAAATTATTGATTGCTTGTACTCCTAGAACATCATAATATAATGACGGATTCCTGGCTCATACTTGTAGATGTGCATGCTGTGGACAAGTTACTTAATCTCTCTATGCTTCGTTGAGGTGTTGTGAGGAATTAAATGAGTTAATCTATACAGAACATTTAGAACAGTGCTGGGCATTTAGTCAATGTTCAATGAATGTTAACATTAAATTGTTTTTTGGAATGTTATTATATAATTAGCATGAATATATTTATTAAAGAAGAAATTATGAAAGCTATATGAAATTATAACATTTTCCAAAAAATTTTTAAAGTCTCAATAATCAAAAGTCCTGCCAAATATCATTTGAAAATTAGAGAACATACAGTAATTACACAATATCATTGTGTCTTTTAAATATGAAATGGATTGCAATCTTAATTATTCAAATTAATTCTTCTAGATCTCAATTCCATTCTCTTTCTTTTCAGAAACTTTTAAAATCAGTAATGCATGAAGTCTGTTATAGATTAAATGGGGGAAGGCAGTGTGCAAGTTTTAGTGCATTATTACAGCCAGCTTAAAATTCTTAACTGTGCATTTTTAAAAGCCTTGAAGAAAATACAAATGGGTGACAGGATTATGTCCACTCCAATTTATCCTATTTGCCCACAATCAGCGAGTACATACAATGATAGTTCATTTATATAATAGTTACTGAAAACAAATTCTGACATTAATAGCATGGTTTTGTTATTGTTTTAGAAAAAAACATCAAATTTCATGGCACTTTAAGGTTCTCAAATTTAATGTCAAAACCTTTGCAGTGAGAATTATGTCGCAGTATAAGGGAGTCCTTTCAGAAGCTGCAGGTTTGTCTTCATAAGAGATATGTGAAAAGTCCATCAGTCGTTAATAAGAATCTGCATGCAGGCCAAGTCCACTGACCTTGACTTCTGGAAGGTGCCCTTTGCAGATCCAGATGTGCAGTGACTAGCTGCATTTGTACAGCACCTTCGGTCTTATCAGACACCTGGACTGCAGTACTGAGGAAGACATCGTGCACTTAGGTTAACAGGAATGTTCCATAGATAAAAAGTAATTACAACACAGTCTTTCCTGCAGGATCTCACCGAGGTCTCACAAAGACCCAGATGAGGAGTCTGAGGTTCCCTCAAATCCCCAACCTTGCTCAAGGGGCAGGGACAGAATTTGCCCCAGAGTCATTCTGCCTCCACATCTCCTCACTAAGTGCTCTGCCAAGAGCCACAATGGATGTGTATCCAGCTAGATCTGGGAGTGAAAAGGGCTTTATGGAGGCAGTTCCATTGAAAAGTTATAAATCCGATCAAGAAAAACAGGAGATGGCTCCTTCTAAGAGAGAAAAGAACCATCAGAGGAGAATCATCAGGGCCTCCCATCAGCTTTACCCCTCTTCAGCCATCACAGTCAGTGTCTCCAAAATGGCTGTGAGACTCAGCAGGCCTGAAATAAATACAGACACCCAGTGCTTTGGTGACCTGTGAAGTCTGCCTTTCCTATCCCTGTACTCCCAGAGGAGGTTTGAAAGGTCCTGAGAGAACCGGCCTGCTAAGTCCTTCTCTAGAACCAGCACCTGCCAAAAGGTCCTGAACTCTCTCTTCGCTTCTCTCTTAGGAAGGACAGTACAGTCTTAAGTATGTAGCTTGGAGCCAGAGAAGAGAGT